TGTCAATATCAATGGATCCTTTATTCAGTGTTCAAGTATGTATACATCAATAAGTGCTGCTGAAAGAAACCCTATCTCGAGTTGTCTAACCTTCAGGAGGTAATTCAGGTACCATAATAAACACTACACTCGTAGTATTGGCTAATTAGGCCTATAAGCTTTGAAGCCCACTTTGTACATTATCTTAACAGAGTTGAAAAGAGTCTTTCATAAGAAAACTATTAATATATTACTCGCGTGAACTGAGTATTTGTAAATCTTAAGAACATGAGAGAAGGAATTGTTTGTTTTAATGCTTACTAAGTTGAGCTTCGATTTAACAGGGGTACAACTTTTAGCTAAAAGCCGAGCGAGGTTTCGTGGTTAGCGTGCCGGTCTGTGGTGCTATGGTTCCGTGTTTACTACCAAACAAACAGACATAAAAAAAAACACGGAGAAAGTAAAAATATTTTTAGTGTTGCTTGTCCGAAGACGTTGCTGTACTAAGTTATAATCAACTAAATAAAGAAATAAATAAGATATTTCAATCACATTTCGCTAAAGAGGATTTAATCCAATAATGTTTTACTCAAAATGGCAAGGTAATTTTACCATGTTTATTTGACAAGAATAAGATATCTTTAACAAGCTGGTTACGAAGAGGATAAGTTATTGTAAGCCTTACTTCACTGAAAAATTCGAGGAATTTTAATAGATTTACACTAAATATAAAAATATCCTTTAAGTGTTTTTACCGAAAATAGATGGTAACCTTGACATTCAAGAAAAGCAGTCCATTTGGCCATGTATTTTTTTGTTTTTGATATAACAGTATATTTCAACAACATTTGAATTGAGACAAAACTTACTTGATTCTTGGTTCATTTAAGAGATCAAGTTAATGTGATCAAGATTAGCCGACAGGAAATGACAAGATATTATAACTATCTCTGGCAGAAACGAACAAGATAATTTATTTGGGTCTGACAGAAAATAATATAACATTTTAATTGTGTCTGACAGAAAATGATGTTTGACAGAAGGTGTTAAGATATTTTAAATCAAGTAACTGTGCTAGACTTAGATACCCTTCACTAGTCTCTCTTTCTCTCTCCTGGTCGGAAGTTAGGTCTGTGTGACCTAGGAGGGTCAGGTACGCTGGGACCTCTTCCTTCTTTCCGGACTGTGCTTTGTCTACTGTGAATGTAGATTGGTGATACTACATGAGGGTCGGAGTAAACCGCACTTGCTCCGACCCCTTTAGTATTTAGTTTGGTTTTAATTTCGCGCAAAGGTACACGAGGGCTATCTGCGCTATTCGTCCCTAATTTATAAGTGATAGACGAGATGGGAGGTAGGTAGTCAACCCACCCACCGCTAACTCTTGGGTTATTATAATAGACTAGTGGAACTGGCCGTTACATTATATAGCCCCCACGACTGCAAGGACGAGCATATTCGGTGGTGGGATTCGAATCCACGAGGCGCAGATTGCGAGTCGAGAGACCTAACCTCCAAGCCATATACCGTTAACTACCGAAGGTTTGAAATAATGGCAGTTTTATCAAACTTTCTCTTGATCTGCCCTCTAGGTAATAAATATAACGTTCTTATATTTCTTGTTACGTCATTAATATATGTTGATAATGCTGCACTTGCGTTTACTGCATATTTTGTTAACCTCACACATACACATATGGTTTAGGGTAATAAAATAGCATAGCCTCAAAAACGGTAGAGTCTAATGTGATTAATATAATATATATATAAAAGATGTAATAATAAATTTTAACGTACTGAGAAAATATTGTAAAACTTCCTAATTTCAAATTTTGAAGCTTATCGTACTCTTTCATAGTAATTTCTTGAAATATGCAACATGCTTTGTAAAAACATTTATGTTCTCTCAAAACAAATAACAGTAAAACTGTATTGTAATCACGATAATTTTCCTCGCACTGGAGGCAGCTAGACCAAAGACTGAAAAATTTTAAAGTATCTATTTTGATACAGAACATGAATTTAAAAAATACCTGTTCAGTTGTACATACAGCGCCGAAAGATGGCAGTAACAAAAAGAAACATATTCATATTTTATTGAAAATGCAGGATATTCAACATTATGAGTACATAAGCTGAAAGTGAGCTTCAAAATAAAAACGTTTTTGTTAGTTGTATCGCAAATTCATTCATCTTCCAATTTTTCTGAAAGAAACACATTGTTTTAAACAATTCTTCACTGAAGTCATAATAACAGTTGATGTTTACTTTCAATTAGTTTTGTTTTTCCTTTACTTTTTTTCGGAAGATTTTAAATCTAAATATTTATGAGCACGAACAAAGTTTTAGGTATATAATGATGGAAAAGTGATTTATAAAGAGCGCTGAAACAAGAGCTGCCTTTAGATGGATGTCTAACCACATAAGTGTTACATTTTCACTAGAATTAAATATAAAAATAAAATAAAGTTGCAACTGAACTTCGAAATGTTTTGCACTCTGGTGAAAAAAACATTCATAAATACACAGGTTAGATAATTTTAAAATGCATATCAAGTGTCCTCATAAAATTTAAATTAAATACCTGCTTCATTGTGGTTAATTGAAAAAACTACTTTTGCAAACCGAATGTCTATGTATAAATTTTGCTGCGATAATTTTTAAAGATATGAAAAATAAATATTTTAAAAATTCAGTTCGTCACGAGTAAAATTTTTAAAAATATCACTATTAAATTACCGCCAAAGAGCTGGGTGGCAGTAAGTTGCCAGTCATATTAAGCATCAAGTTCGTTTAGTTGTAACGTTTTTTGCTCGTTTCTTTGTTTAATTGTTGAGAACCTTAACATAAACAGTACTTTATCTTTAATCTTATCTATCACGTCATTTTATATCTTAGCTCAGTGACATTATTAAAAAAGAATAGAGCGAAAGTGATGTATGGAATCAGCATGCATATATACTTTATTCATATGATATGTCCGTAAGGTAAAGTTACTTTCGTAGGACTAATTAGATTTACAAAGAACCCGCGCTTAAGAACAGACGACCTTTGCATAGTACCTTTCAAACCAACTCTTCAAACAGTTATAATTACTATCCTTATATCAAATATATTATATTCAAATTTATTTTGTTCTATCTAACTGGTTCTAAATTAACAAATAATAGATCAAACAATCATATAGTGAAATTGAAATCGTACCCATATTTATTTCACCGTTCTTAAGTATATCCTTCTACCGCTTCATCAGTGGGAGTATAAGATTTTGATTATGTATTTGGAACGTATACTAAATGCACTTATTATGTAAATAAGGATGTTTTACGTCAGCTTGTCCTTAGAGAGTCGATAATTAGTATAGTAACAACACGATAAAGGCGGGCGGGCTCCGTATACAAAGCTCCACCATCATCAGTTTCATTCTGTGACCCCACAACAGTAGATTTATTACATGTTAACGATGACTTCTTAGATAGTTTATTCGAAGCACAGAAACGCATATGTAAGAAGCTCACATAGTGATAACTTATATTTGTATCTTAGAAATACGATATTATCAATTTCAAAGGATATCGCTGGAAGAAAATAACGTACCTGAACACTTAGTAAAAATGGCTACTTTCGGTTAAATAAATTGAATTCAGATACTGAAGGAGCAAAAAAGAAAATAAGAACAATTTAAAGGTGGATATATTTTTAAAAATCAATAACCATCGTCGAAGTTATATTGGATACGGTTAATCCTACTGCTTATATACATGCTATATCAAGACATTTCTGTTTTTGCAATTTTCCAGGAGTTTTCTGAATTACAGATAGATATACTGGTAAGATATAAGCCCTCTTGTATAAACGCTGAAAATCACGTAAAGTAATTAAACTGATATGATATTATTCTGTACAGAAATATAATTTGCTATCTCCTAAAAGAAAGATAATCTGATATTACAAATAAGAAAGCTAATGATAAATAGGTATCAAGTTTACACACATTTTAAACAACCGTAACAAGTAATTGTAAAAACTGAATCGTCTTTGTGTGAAAGAATCTGAAATCGTTTGAGTGATCCGTACATTGTAAACGTTTTTTCTAGTATAATAAGCGAGAAGCAGGCCAGTATTTTTTTCATGTGAAGCCAAATCTGAGATTAATGCATTTATATAAATGAATGTGCTTTGGAAATCTTATTTTTATTTTCATGGGAAAACTTTTTAAAAGAAGACAACGTTAGAATTTGTATCTTTAATATTTATTAAGATCTTAATATAGCAGCAAAAACAAACAAACAAATATTACATATATAAATATATGTATATGATATTTAAACCTTCAACATTAGAATTCAGTTGAAATTATCCTCCCTTTCTGAAATACTCCTTTTACGCCATATTCACCCCCCAGTGGCACAGCGGTATGTCTGCGGACTTACAACGCTAGAATCCGGGTTTTGATACCCGTGGTGGGCAGAGCACAGATAGCCCATTGTGTAGCTTTGTGCTTAATTACAAACAAACATTTACGCCATATCCACTCATTTCACATTTAATTTCAACCAAACATGTGTGGTACTGTTTCTGTCCTTCTGCAAGTGTAAAAACCTACCAAACACCATGACAATTTCTAATTCCTGTGTGACGATGCTAATTTTCAAGGTAATAATGCAAGGGTCGTCTTTGTATCAGACTTGTGTGTTAGTAAGTACATTTTCCTCACCTGAGGAACCGTCTTACCTTTACCCTGTTATTTGTATAGCTCTCAGCATGAAACGGGGAGGATGACCTTGGGCGTACTAAAATTTGAATTTATTGTTGAAAACTGCTGTCAATAAAAAAAAGTGGGTTAAATCATGACCGTGACGTAAAAGAAATCACAATTAACCAATGGTTCTTCACATGAAAAGAATGCCTGATTTGCATGGCGAAGCTCTATAAAAGAAGAAGAACATTTAGATAGTCACGGTTTTACCAACAGCAGAGAAGAAATTCCTTCATCTACTGTGACCAATACTTTTATCAATATGTTTCAGTTGGTAAGTTAACTGCCTATTATTACCATATCCGAAGAACACTAGGAACTTCTAAAAGTCTTGTTTCTTTTAGTGATCTTTTTTCAAAATTTCTATTAGTGTATTAATGAAATATTATATTGGCAGAAAAAGAGCTATGTATGTAAAACAAGAATATGAAGGACATAAATTAATAACAGCATTATTACAAATGGGTGGATATTGTAAATTAACCCTCAAATTAGACTTGTTTATGTACCGTTCACTTACCGTGGGTTTCACCTAATGCACCATGATAAGATTTTTTTTTGTCTGTTATGAAACTTAGCTTAAAGACCAACCCAAACAATTGGGTTAAAATACATATTTTCACAGCTGTAATTGGGGGAGTTATTTGCAAAATTGACATTTTTTTTTGTTATTAGAAATCCCGTAAAAAAATTAAATTACGGACCCAGCGATTTAATGCATAGATAGTTTAGAAAAATGAGATTAGAAATCCAAAGGAGTTCCTCTGGACCCCATCAATAACTTTCGGTTTAAGTTTTTATCTAAACATTCTATCGTACTCTTGACTTAGCAAATGAAAACCATGAGTTTTTAACTTTAGAATTATTAGTTTCACAAGAAATGTTTCTGTGGCGTAAACAAAGTTTTATAATTCTAGCATTATTTCATGTTTTCCAAACTAATGTTTTATTTGTTCTTTGTAAACAGACACTTTTAGCCTGTACTTGTGTGTTGACCATAGCCCAGAGGTTTCCTTATGGCTTTCCTGCACAGCAGCAGTACAAGTCGGAGGCTTTTCAAGGGGCACTACAACAACAACTACAACCTGTTGCCGCTGGAACTCAACAGTTCAATGATGGATCTAATGATCTCCAGCAACAGCTGAAAATTCACCAACTTCAGCTTCAAGAACACGAGCGGGAGATACAGCGCCATCTTCAACAAGAACAACAAGCATTACGTGGAAACTTCCAACCACAGACCCAGCAACAGTACAGCCCAGTTGCTTATCCTGCTTTTCAGACTCAAAACCTAGAACAACAAGACTATCGGCAACAACAGTCGTCGAAGCCTGCCACGACAACAAACTACCACCCTCCCGCACCTGTCCATCGAGTGAATATTGGCGCCAGCCTCCAGGGAGACTACGATTTTACCTACGACACGGGCAAAGGACCCCTCGGACAAAGTTTCCGCAGCGAAACCCGTCTTCCCGATGGGACAGTAAAGGGTTCTTACGGCTATATAGACAGTGAAGGTCGTCAGAGAATTGTGAAGTATATTGCCGGTAAAGGGGGGTTTGTTGCCGAGGGTGATGTTGGTCCACACCACGTACCAGTAGGAACTACTACTAACCATGCTCCACAGCCCACACCACAACAACAACAGGCTGCAACCACTAACAATTCTTACGTGTCCCAGCATCTTTCAACACAACAGCCTCTTATCTCCTCCACTTATCCAGGGAAACGAAATTCAGCTATTTTCGACTCTTCTCTTTTCGCTTATGATATCGGAATTGAGAGTCAGAACTGAGAAAACCACATTATATTTTATCCTGTTTAATACTTATAATCAACTTGAAATTCTCAAAAGAGTCTAAAGACTAATACATTTGTATCCAAATGAATATCAAAGTCAAACTCTTCATATATTTTATAGTGGTTTTTATCTATAAATGTATCCTTAAATATATTTGTGTTGTCCACAGAAGCTTACTTTAACACATTTCTAAATATATCGGTTTCTGGTGACTTACCCTGCGATGTAAATGGATTGTTTATATTTTTTATACATTTTTTAGAATCGCTTCTTTAAATAAAATTAACTTTTCTTCAACTAATTCGGAATCCTCAAAACCCATTAAAATCGCAACAAATTTTTGAAATTGTGAAGATGTTTTACCTAATAAAAAATTTATGACACGTGCTTTAACTTTCCTTTTCAATTCTTTCTAGATAATTCAAGATTTCACTAATTGTAAAGTATACGGCGCTTGTTTATATTTATAAACCACTACATCAGTAAAATGGTATTTGGCTTCACTGCTGCCAAAATCTGCATTGCGTTTACAACCACACTCCAAAGAGACTCATAAAGTTTCATAAACACTCATATTAAAAAAAAAAAAACGCAAGTCGAATAAATCAACAAGGAAGTCATACATACAAATTAAACTTTCTACAGTACTTAGAACACTTCTGATGAAATCAAATCTATTCTAACTCATGACTCATTTTCAAGTTTCCAAACTTTATAACTAACAGACAACAATGAGATTAATTACGAGGTTCTTGAATGGATCCACCTTATAGTTTTGCATATACAGCTTATTTAAAAGGAAAACTTTATTTGGAAACTGTTGAACTGTTAAAGATGTGTAATTATATTTTTAAAACGGCTATGCTTTCGAGAAGCCATTATAACTTGCTAAAAATCGTAATTTATGCAAGTGAAGAACACACAAATTGCTCATATCTATAATATCAATGTCATTTCCGTGTATGTAAACAGCCATAGTCAGCTATCTCATGTTTTCCACGAGTTGAACTTACCACATATTTGTAAGAGAACTGGAATAATTAAAATATAAATGAAACTTTAGATAACACACCGTTAAGAAACAGGTCCTACTACTACATATATCTTGAGCCTCTGTCGTTTATCGTGTCTTTCATTTTCACCATACGTTTATTTTTTATAACATTTCTCAGTTTTAATTTCTTTTATCTCGTGTTTTACGATCATGTGATACCTTTATTCGTCACAATCGACTACAAGACTCTCTCTCTAGTTATTCTGTCATCGGATGTAGCTGCTAAAAAAACATTTGTAATCAGGTCTGTCTGTCTGTCTATGTTTCCGCGAGCATATCTCAGAAACTAATAGACCAACGTACATGAAAATGTTACACAAGATGGGAAGTCAGAATGGGACAGTCTTCCCCAAATTTAGTCTGGATACATATCCCGATCCGGATTCTGGATCACTTTGAAGTATTTCTTATAATGGCGAAATAGGGCATTTTCGCGGTTTTGGGTTAATAACTCTGTGATCGGATGTGTACCATATTTTATGGGCACATTAAGGTTGAGACTGCTCATCACACTACATAAAATGATCCAGATCGTTAATCATTCTGGATCTGAGAAGGATCTTCTGAGTTTTCGAAGGTAAAATTTGACGTTATCTAACATAAACGCATGTATTACTGAAAAACCACAGTAAACGGAACAAATTGTCAGAAGTTTGATATCAGAGAAACTAGTTTCGACACATTCTTGCGTCCTCTACAGGCTTTGTTGAAAAGGTTTGCAATGGGCTATATGTACTCTGTCCACCGCATGGAATCGATCTCCGAATGTTATGGTTTTAAGTGTATAAACTTACCGCTGACCCACCGTGAGACTCTATTTTTATATCATCATTTCTATTTGTTTTAAATCAAAAAAGTAACAGCATTGGCTTTCGTTTTATAGGATTTTGTTTCTTTGTTTGTTTATAATTAAGCACAAAGCTACACAATGGGCTGTCTGTGCTCTGCTCACCACGGGTATCGAAACCCGGATTCTAGCGCTGTAAGTCCGCAAAAATACCGCTGTGCCTCTGGGGGCTATAGGTTTTTACAAGAATTATGCATGAAACAATATGTCTTAATGTTAATATGGAAAGAGATATTTTATACGCTTAATACAACTGATGTTTTAATTCGCTCCCAATGGCACAGAGGTATGTCTGCGGATTTACAATGCTAGAATCCGGATTTCGATACTCATGGTAAGCAGAGCACAGATAGCCCATTGTGTAGCTTTGTGCTTAATTACAAAAAAAAAGTTTTAAGTTCAACATTTCGACGTGATTTTTTTAAACTCAAAAACAATCCATACACTTTTGAGAAAAAGAAATAAGTTATTTTAATGTGTATCTATTTCTTTTATCTATTAAATTATTTGATCTATTCTGTTAGTGCCCTCTGATGAGACAGAGGTAAGTCTACGGACTTACAACGCTAAACTCCAGGTTTCGATTACCCGCTGTGTACACAGTAGAGAGCCCAATGTGGGTTTGCTCTAAACGAATCAAACAAACAAATCTGCTTTATTATCATTTTTCCTCAACTTATTTAACTTTGAATTATTTTACTCCTGCAGTTTAGAATAACATTCTGTCCTAACTTATTCAGGTTCAAATTATGTAACCATTCCTATATTTTAGTATAACATTCTTCCACAGTTCATATAAATTTAAGTTAAATTTCACGTATAGTTTAATACCCTTATTTTTTGGCTTTTTTTGGCTTTTTTTCAATTTCAACTTATATAACTACTCGTTCTATAGTATACTTTTATATCTTATTCGACTTTACTTTATGTTAGTCGACTCCCCTACAAGCAGTCTTTTCACACTTAGTGAACTTTAACTTTATGTATTAATAATAACTGTCATGCTTATCCTCATTTTTAAAGGACGGGTGTACAGTGGCGTAGCAAAAGGGGGGCAGCCGCCCCCGGGCGCAGGTGTGAAGGGACGCAAAATTTCCTCTGGCCTATAATGCCTATTAATTAATAATTAATGGTCATACTAAGACATAACCTCAAACGAAAACCCTGGAAATTTCTTGTCACTTTTGCAGTATTAGTAAAGTATGATCCAGTAATGAGACAGCGTTTAGAGCGTGTTAAAAACAAGCAAACGTCCACATCTGATCTTTCTCCTGAAATACAAAATGAGTTTATAAATCTCATGGCTTTACATGTGCGAAATTATTGTTTGTCGGCAATTAGTAGAAACAAATACTATGGTATTCTGTTTGATTCCACACTTGAGTTAGCCCACCGTGAGCAATTGGCCCAAGTGATTCGGTTTGTTGACATTGACTTTAAGACAAGAAAAGTAGAAGTCAAACAGTCATTTATTGACTTTATACAGATAAAGGAAAAAGACGTTGCTAATATTGAGAAAACAATAAGCACAAAATTAGAAGCGGATGGATTTTTATTGAGTGATTACCGTTCACAATGTTATGATAATGATGCTGTCATGTCAGGTCACCTGTCAGGCGTTCAACAAATAATTCTAAACAAAAATCCAAAAGCAGTGTCTATAAACTGTGACAACCATAGTTTGAACTTAGCATGTCTTCATGCTGCAAGTCAGGAAACAACAGTTATTGCCTTTTTTGGTATAATTGAAGCCATTTATAATTTCTTTGCTCATTCAACAACTCGATGGGACGAACTGCTGCAGTAGCTTAAGATCTCTGTCAAGCGTGAATCAGAAACACGGTGGAGTGCAAGAGAAAAGGCAATAAAAGCTGTACATGAAAAACTAAATGAATTGCTAGGACTGTTAGAGCAATTAAGTGAGAATGGCAACACGGCTGAAACAAAATGTGGTGCTCATAATATTCTGCAACGCATGCTTACATTTGATTTTCTTGTACTTTTGCATTTTTGGAGAAATCTTTTATCATCTATCAATCGAGTGCAGAAACGTCTTCAGGACCCAAAAATGAATTTTAGAGAAGCGGCTGCTGATCTTGATTCTTTGAAAGAGAAATTGATAAAATCACATGAAAAGTCCTGTCAAGAATCACTTAAAGTAGGCAAAAATCAATGTGAAACATGGA